TAGTTTGTCTAATGTTCGGCCAGTGTCCAATGTACGGCCAGCGTCCAATGTACGGCCATTGTGTCTAATGTACGGCCAGCGTCCAATGTACGGCCATTGTGTCTAATGTGCGGCCATTGTGTACATATATATATTGATGAAGGCTGTGGGGTGCGGGGACTGTATATATATATATTCTAATAAAATGATGGTTAAATAAGTATTAAAATATATATACAAAATAATAATAATTGGGCTTCAGTAATGAATATATAACTAAGTTGGAAGAAGTGACACAATGTAGCTTTCGCCTCCACTAACCGGATGCCTGGCTTGTGCCGACGGATGGCTGAGAGTTTCCCGAACTTTTAATGTACAAATCTTAAAAATAAAATAACAAAACTAAGACATAAAATGTCCCTAAGCCAATGTTCCCCACGCATCATTTTGTTTCCTTTTCTAAATATAATGTTTCCCGGGAGTGGAGACGAGGAATATATTGTGTCCCCGGTGTGCCGAGAAAAGAAAACGGCTCTGTAAATAAGTATTTTACGAAGCGGGGCCCCCGGAGAACGGCTCTGGCAGATGCCGGAAGGCCTGACTGGAATGCCAACGTTCAGCACTTGTGTCGGGGGGGAGCAGGTGGACACGACGCATTTAACAGAGACGCCCATCAAGAATGAGCGCCTCGGCTGCGAAGTCTCTCTCCCCGCTGACACACACACAGGGCCTCCATTGACGCGAGGAGGCGATGGCCTCGGATCAGCCACACTGGGCCTTTGTTGTGCGGCGATAGCGCCATACCAGCGGCGCGCCGATTCTCCACCGGGAGTCGTAATTTACTGCGCCCGAGGAACGCCGTCGCCAATATTTGTTCTGGGGTTGGGAAAGTCAGGACAGGTGAAGAGCTTGGCGTGCCACCGGAGTGACTCCAGTTGTCACCAAGTGCCTCGGTTATTTTCCGTAAGGCAGCGAGGGGCCACGTGACCCAGACACACGGAGACGCATTTACGAGGCCCGAGGAAGGTCTATTTACTAACATGGAAGAAAAGGGCAAATGTCTTCCGGGAGCCACAACCACCGGGCAGAGAGCGGTTTTCAGGATGCTTAGAGGAGTCACATGACTCCTCTATTTCTGGTGGATTGTAGGAGCATCCAGAACATTCTGGGTTACTTCAATTGCTGGACCCACATTGTACATAGGATGATCAGATAAAGGAGCCGACACGTTTCAGGTCCCCCCCCCCCTCATCAGGGTTTAGGGACCTTGACAGGGCAGAAATGGGCTCAGTAATAGGGATTATTAGATTGATCTGTATTGGATCTAGTCCCCCTCTACATTCTACCCTTAGTCCCCCCCTAAAGTCCACCAATGGTCCCCCTCTACATTCCACCCATGGTCCCCCTCTACATTCCACCCATGGTCCCCCTCTACATTCCACCCTTTATGGCACAACTGACCAAGTAGATGACATGAGCCACTGCACCCTGCTCCTCTCTGATCACATGCTCCTCGTTTTCCCGGGTCTCTGAGGAAATATTTGCTCTTTTTGGAAGAGCCTGGAAATGGGGGAAGGTGGTGGCGGTGGCGGGGCAACTCTTCATACCCTTTGTAAATGTTCTGGGACTTGCAGTGCTACCACCACCTACACCTGTAATGGTCTCTGCTACAACCATTGGACTTTCTCATTGGACATTTGGGACCTTCCAGTGGTTATACTCAATGGCATTTACTGGGGTCTATGGTGGACTTTTTCAGTCCTTGTTGACAACATTATGAATTTTTATGGCCCAAGCACAGACATCAATCTAATTGTTGGGAGAGTCGTCGCTGCATAACAACCAATCAAATTGTCAGTTTTCCAATGGTGGAAAAGACGGGAAGCTTCTGGTTGGTTTCTTGGTGGTGACCAGAGATCAGAGTAGGAGATTGAAGAGGATCCGGCTACATCGTCTCACACAGAGAAGGGTCCCCCGTACATAAACCTTCAGAAGTTCCGAAATGCGTTCACTTACCGGGTGTAAACAGCGCCACGGCCTTCAAGCAGGAGTACTCGGCAGAGTCGACGTGAAGGGCCTTCAGCTTTTCCACCTGTTCCTGAAAGACCCGAATATGGTCCATGAAAGCCACCACTCGATCAGCAGACATGGGCGAGGCATGGAGGCCGGCCGCCGCCAGCAAGGGCGCCACGTGGAGGGGCATGGAACACTGGGCAGCGTTGAGGACAAAGAGCTCGCTCCACGTCATCCGGAGAAGGGCGACCTGGTCGGAGAGCTGGAAGTCGGGAAAGAAAGGGATGTTCTTGGCCCACTCGATGGCACTGAAGAGGAGGCGGGCTGCCAGCTCGCAGATGTTCTCGATGCCCATGATGTTGTTGGGCTGCAGGCACTGGGCTCCGTAGCGGGACGTCGGGTACGGCTCGGCCCGGAGGAGCAAGGAAATAAATCCCGTGAGGTATGAGTGGCCGTTGTAAGGGTCAACGTTGTTGAGCGGGTACTGGCCTGGGCTGGTCTGGGGGTGAGACATTCGTCCACGTTGAACTGCTGTGAAGGAAAAAGAAAGAAAGTATCACTATTCGGATCCTGAGGGGCCGACAGGCCAAAATGAGAAGAAAGCCGGTTAGAGAGAAGACAAAAAACGTGGACCCTGAGCTGGCCCCTGCCAATGTACAAAGGTCAGTGCATTAGATGTGTGCCCGGAGTTCACCTTTAAGTATCACCATGACTACATTGAACATCCCTCTGATACATACACTTACATGTTCAACTTTTTGGGGATCTGGAGTTCTAAAAAGTGTATGAAGACCCCCAACCATGACCTCATCTGTTCCCTACTGACCCGTTCAATATACCATTTTGTTATATCTGTTGATCCTGCCAGAAATTGGAATCCGGGAGCCAGGCTGCCCAATCAAGGAGCCAGGCTGCCTAATCCGGGAGCCACGCTGCCCAAACCAGGAGCCAGGCTGCCCAATCCAGGAGCCAGGCTGCCCAATCCAGGAGCCAGGTAGTCCAATCCAGGAGCCAGGCTGCCCAATTCTGGAGCCAGGCTGCCCAATCCAGGAGCCAGGCTGCCCAAGCCAGGAGCCAGGCAGTCCAATACAGGAGCCAGGCTGCCCAATCCAGGAGCCAGTCTGTCCAATCCAGGAGCCGGGCTGCCCAATCCAGGAGCCAGGCAGTCCAATCCAGGAGCCAGGCTGCCCAAACCAGGAGCCAGGCTGCCCAAACCAGGAGTCAGGCAGTCCAATCCAGGAGTCAGGCAGTCCAATCCAGGAGCCAGGCAGTCCAATCCAGGAGCCAGGCAGTCCAATCCAGGAGCCAGCTTCATGGACGACAACCAGAGAGAACCTCAAAAGCTGGGCGCCAGCTGGTATTTTGGAGGAGCATTGGCGACCTGGCTCCTGGGATTGTTCCAGCCCTGTTGTACGGCACATGTTTTTGCCCTGACCTCCACTTTAAATAAAAGGGGCCCCCGTGCATACACACGTCAGGTGACATGCACTTCCTGTATGACGGCCCCTCGTTCCCGTATAACGTCTGGAATGGATTCAGAGCCCCGCGTCGGTTTAGAAGGTAAACCTCAGACGATGACGGCGGCCGGCTCTGCACATGTTCTGGAAAAGGCGACATTTTCTCCCGTGAACCCCGAGTCTAAGTTCTTTGCCATATGGTCGACGTAGAGGCCAGCCAGGGGCCCCGGAGAGGATCACATGACCTACTAAAGCCCTAAATTCCAGCGACGGGAAACAATGACGGGTCCTCCCTAATGACACCAACACACAGTTCCCGACAGAAGAAACCGCATCCATGGTAACGGGAATACGGAACGCCGTCATTCCACAAATAATGTATCACGGCGGGAGAAAGAAAACTATCCAGAATCCAAAAGGTAAAGCACAAGTCATGGGTTATCTGTCATGTTCCTCCCATTGGGGAAATTGCCCTTAAAGGGTCCGTAACCCCCAACAAACAACGACCTGTCCCTATTGGATCCCCTTGTGGTCTGTTAAATATCCCACTTGAAGAGTTCAATACCTCCTGATCCTGCCAGAAATCCAGAGAGATGATCACTTCCTGTGCCGACTGTTATCTGTTACATTGTTCCCACTTCTACCTGTTGACTACAGAACTCCCCCCACCACCACCAATGTTATTGGTGATCCGAGGCCCTAACGCACTTCCTGTCCTATGCTGCTCCCCCCTAGATACCGTGCTCTGTAACATTGGGCTGTATCTGGCTCTATAGACCAGGGGTGGGCCACCTTGGCACTCCAGCTGTGGTGAAGGTATAAGTCCCACCATGTTGGGTTGGGCCGGATGGGCGTTGTAGTCTCACCACGGCTGGAGTGCCAGGGTTCGCCTACCCCCTGCTCTGGACAGCCAATGCAATGGGTCACGAAGGGGCTATTATCATAGAGCTTTTCTCCCCGAGGACTCCAAGCGCTTCATCTTCTGTTGGGGTGGATTGGGAGGCGGCCATCTTGGCCGTGCTTTTTTACCCTGCCTGTATGTCTTTGGAGCGGGGGAGGGGAAACCCAACTGGGACTTGAACCAAGGACCCCAGTCCATGCTAACCACCTGGCCACTGTGCTGCCCTTGGGGAACCACTACCCTAAAATGAGACATAATGCCCATATATTATGTGATGGACTGAGACGGGTGACTACCTTTGCCCCCTTCCTATACTCCTCAGCGCCATCTTGGGGCCCTAGTGCCATGTTCTAAGGAGGACCTCCCGCGCTGGTTCTTGTGGAGGACCATTTGGTGCTCCTCACTGTAACCTTCTGGGTTCTGATGGACTGAGACGGGTGACTACCTTTGCCCCCTTCCTATACTCCTCAGCGCCATCTTGGGGCCCTAGTGCCATGTTCTAAGGAGGACCTCCCGCGCTGGTTCTTGTGGAGGACCATTTGGTGCTCCTCACTGTAACCTTCTGGGTTCTGATGGACTGAGACGGGTGACTACCTTTGCCCCCTTCCTATACTCCTCAGCGCCATCTTGGGGCCCTAGTGCCATGTTCTAAGGAGGACCTCCCGCGCTGGTTCTTGTGGAGGACCATTTGGTGCTCCTCACTGTAACCTTCTGGGTTCTGATGGACTGAGACGGGTGACTACCTTTGCCCCCTTCCTATACTCCTCAGCGCCATCTTGGGGCCCTAGTGCCATGTTCTAAGGAGGACCTCCCGTGCTGGTTCTTGTGGAGGACCATTTGGTTCTTGTGGAGGACCATTTGGTTCTTTTTGTTGCTCCTCACTGTAACCTTCTGGGTTCTCCTCTTCTGATGAACCTTGTGGAGGGAATCTAGAGGAACTTGTCCTGATCCGTGTTTAATGGCCGCCTACCACCTGGCGGTAAAGGTGTACGAGCCGCTGTCTCTGCACCCAGGAGTCGGAACGCCATCCTATACCCAGGGCCGGTGCTGCCACTAGGCAAACCAGGCAGCCGCCTAGGGCGCAGCCTCCACCACTCACCCCCACACGGTGCCCCCCCATTTATCTGTCATTGCAAAAGCCAATAGCCGGCTGGCTATCGCATCCATCCACTGAGCAGAGGGGGTGGAGACTTTCTTACTCAGGTCCACTAATCTGCTCAGTGGGCGGGGTCACCACAGCCAACCTGCTATTGGTTATTTCAAATTAAAATAGCCAATAGCACTCTGGCTATTGCTCCCGGCTGCTTACATCCACCTGTCGCCTGCAGAAGCATTGGGCTGCGCGGGGGGATTGGGGGTTGCACCACGGTAAGGGGGGCTGCAAGTAGCTGGTCTTGCCTAGGGCGCAAAATAGTGTAGCGCCGGTCAGGTGGCGTCCCTAAGCCGGGTGACACCCGGAGCGGTAACCGAGTGTCACCCCGACGAGACGTCGCAGTATTCTGATACCTGCCGGCGGCCATCTTGGTGATGGACGCCGACACAGAGAGGAGGGTCCACGGTAAGGGGGGCTGCAAGTAGCTGGTCTTGCCTAGGGCGCAAAATAGTGTAGCGCCGGTCAGGTGGCGTCCCTAAGCCGGGTGACACCCGGAGCGGTAACCGAGTGTCACCCCGACGAGACGTCGCAGTATTCTGATACCTGCCGGCGGCCATCTTGGTGATGGACGCCGACACAGAGAGGAGGGGACAGTCAGCCGGCGGGATGAGGTATGCCGCCGGGTCCCCTCCTCTCTCCTGATACATGGACCGAATTATCATATGTGTATCAATAATACATCACAATGTCCCAATGGGAGAAGCTACTGCTGTGCTCTCTATGAAAGAAAGCCTAGCATGCTCTGCAAGACCGACGTGATGGGGGCTCCGTTGTTACATGCGTATTTATAAATAAAGATTTGATATGAATTCAAAACATATGTATAAAGGAACATTATTGTAACAACCTTAATAACCTCAAACTTTTACCGCTATATTAAATACAACCAATCGAGGGGTCACGTCTTACAGCCGCCCCGCCCCTATGTTGTATTTCGTACAGGAAGTGCTCTCTTGTATGCTCTGCCCCCGTGACAGCTCTGCGTGA